TGCTGAGATATCCTAAAACACCAACAGTGACTGTGTTTCAAAAGTAATTCACTGTGGCTTTATCTGGCTTTTTGGGACTTATTAAAGAAATGATATAATGCTTTATCAATGCCATTTATTTCTCTGCCCACTGTGTTCTGCTTGTGTATTTAAAATTATAAAGCAGGGGAAAGTGCTAAACCTGCAGGCATATGCAGGGAGGAAGATGGAGAAAGGGATAAGATATTGGAGTTATTCAGTTCCTTGAGGCTGCTCACCTCTCAATGAGATCGCAGCTCATCTCTGCCTGAATGCCACTTTCCTGCTCTATCAACATATCCCATTATGCCATTAATCGATAGAAATGCCTTGGACATGGTCAATGACCAAGTCTCAAATAATCTACCACTTATTCTGAGATGATGTGCTGTTTTTTAGATTTAGAATCCCTACAGCATGGAAGCAGGCCATTTCACCCACTGAGTCCACACTGATCCTCTGAAGAGCATCCCACACAGACCCACCCCCATCTCTGTAGTCCTGCATTTTCTTGGCCAATCCACCTGGCCTGCACATTCCTGAACACTATGGGGCGATTTAGCATGGCTAATCCACCTAATCTCCACATCTTTGGACTGTGGGAGGAAACCGGAGCACCCAGAGGAAACCCACACAGACACGGGGAGAATGTGCAAACTCCACACAAACAGTAACCCGAGGGTGGAATCAAACCTGGGTCCCTGGCACTGTGAGGCAGCAGTCCTAAACACTGAGCTACCATGTTGCCCTTAAATTTATTAGCCATGTGAAGCATTTTAATTACATCGACCCTGACCCACCCATTAGAATTTTGTACGTTTCAATGAGTTCATCCCCTCATTCTTTGAAGCTCTAGGCAATGCAGGTCCAGTTTCCTCAATTTTCCTTCTGCCACTGCAGGGATTAATCAGGTGAAACAAAATCAAAAATAGAATGGGCTGGAGAAACTTTGAGTTCTGATGCAGGGCCACTGCACCATGTGGGGCTGCAAAGTGGTTCAGTGGTTAGCACTGCTGCCTCACAGTACTAGGGAGCCAGGTTCAATTCTAGCTGTGGGTAATTGTCTGTGTGGAATTTGCATATTCCCCCTGCGTCTGTGTGGGTTTCTCCTGGGTGTTCTGGTTTCCTCCCACAGTCCAAAGATGGGCAGGTTAGGTGGATTGGCCATGGGAAATGCAGGGGATAGGATGAATCTAGGTGGGATGTTCTTTGGAGAGTCAGTGTGGACTTGCTGGGCTGAATGGCCTGTTTCCACACCACAGGGATTCTATGGAGCATTAACTCTGTTTTCAATCCACAGAGTTTCTCTAGCACTTTGTTTTTGTTTCAGATTTCCAGCATCCACAGGTCTTTATTTTAAAATTAATCTGCTGAACCTCTATTGCACAATTTCTATGGCATGTATATCCTTCTTTAGATAAGGGTGTCAATACTGTACAAAATACTCCAGGTGCCTGTTGCAAAACTCTACATAACTGCAGCAAGACATCTTTCTCCTGTGGTCATACTCCCTTGCAATGAGGGCCAACAGACTATTTGCTAGATTTTGATGATTAGCGAACAAGGGCACCCAGATCCCTTTCGACACTCAGATGTCCCAACTTCTCACACTTTCAGAAATAGTCTCCCTTTCCATCATATTTCTACCAAAGTGAACAACTTCAAACTTATTCACATTATATTGCATCTGCCATGTTCTAGCCCATTCACTCGGCCTGTTCAAGTCCTCTTGGAGCTTCCTTGTGCCTTCCTCCCAACTTAAGTTCCCACCCACTTTGGTGTCATTGACAAATTTGAAAATATTACAATTGGTCCCCACAACCATATTATTTATACAGATTGTGAACACATGGTCCTCCAGCACTGACTCTTGTGGTATCTCCCTAATTACAGCCTGTCATTTTAATTGTCTTAGTTTTTACTCAAGTCTATTGATTGCCAACTTAAAAATGCTTAACAAATAAGCATCCATGGTTTTGTGCAGTAGGGAATTCCAAAGGCTCGTAACTCTTCAAGGGAAGACATTTCTTCTCATCTCAGTCGGACCAGATAACTCCCTATCCCTAAATTGTGATCTCTAGTTCTTCCCTTCACAGCATGTGAGACATTCTTCTAAGATCTATCCTGTGAGACTTTTTAGGGTTTTATGTGTTTTAAATAAATTAACTCATTAATTTAAACTCTTGGATAAATAGACTACATTTACATTAATGTCTCCTCATAAACCATACCTTTATAATCGGAACCAGTCTGCTGAACCTTCACCATACTTTCTCTAAGGCAAGTTCCTTAGGAACAGAGACCAGAACTGTGCACAGTATTTCAGGTGGGGTCTCACTAGCTCCCCCTGCAATTTGAATGAGATTTTTACTTTTATACTGTAAATATATTGCAATGAATGTTGACTTGTCTTTGGTTTGATGGGGTGGTGTTAAGTATTGGGCAGCGGTACAATAAGCTTGCTTCAAATATGAACTACTGAGAGTTAAACTCATAGAGATCAGTTGATGTTACCTGCGATTGTGAATTCCTGAGATTCCTTCAATTCTAAATTGAAGGAAACAAAGCCCCAGAATGGTAAAAACCTTCAGTCAGCGGGTGGGTCAAAGTCTGCACTCTTGAAGCACCAGCTGCAATGCACCAGCTTTACTAATTGCCGGCATGAGGGGATAGCTCTGTAGTTGAAAATGTGACACAGAGCTATTGAAGGAGGTATAACCAGGAAATTTATCGCATAGCAGGAGACCATTCAACTCACCATGCCTATGTTTGCAAATTTATTGGGGATATTAGGACTAGTCGAAGACGTAGATTTTAACAAAGATCTGAAATGAAGATTGAGAGGGGCAAAGAGTTGGAGAGTTGTAAGCAATGCAAAGGTACTGGAAGGTAATTTCAATCAAACATTGTTTGAGGCAAGACCTGGAAATTGCAGAAGATGGTAGAGCTGTAGCAGGCTACAGAGATAGATAAAGGCAATGCTATGTAAGGATTTGAAAACAAGGATGAGAATGTAAAATCAAGGCATTGACATGCCAAAAGCCAATGTAGTTCAGTGATCACACGGGAGATAGATGAATGGGATTTAGTGACAGTTAGGGTACATGAACACACACACACACAATACACACACACACACACACACACACACACACACACACACACACACACA